TATTAGTAACAATGTTTGCTATTAGAAACAAGTGCCACGCTAGTAGTGACAAGTGCCTACTACTAGTAACAAATTAGAAATACATTAAATTAGAGTTAAATTGAATTAAATTAGAATGAAATTAGATTAGAATTCAAAAAAATGAACTGGAATCAGATTAATTTGAATTGGAATTAAGTCAAATTAGAATAAACTTAAATTAGAATTGAACTGAGTTAATTTAGAATTATATCAAATTAAATAAATTAGAACTAAATAAATCAAAAATCAATTAAGTTAAATTAAATTGGAATCAGTTTAAAATAGAATTAAATTAAAAAACTTAAATTGAATTAAATTAGAATTAAACTCAATTAAATTAGAATTAATTTAAATTAGAATTGAACTACATTAGAATTAAGTTAAATCCAATTAGAACTAAATTACACTAAGTTAAATTAAATCAAATTAGAATGAAATAGAATTAGAATTGGAATCAAATTGAATTTGAATTAAATTAAATTAGAATCAAATTCAAATAGAATTGAATTAAATTGGAATTAGAATAGACTAAATTACAAATAAATCAAATTAGGAATTAAACTATATTAGAATTGATTTAAATTAAATTAGAAATAAATTAAACTAAACTTAAATTAAATCAGAATTAATCTAAATTAAATTAGAATTAAATTAAAGCTAAATTAAATCAAATTTGAATTAAATTCAATTCAATTAGAATTAGACTTAAATTACAATTAATTAGAATTGAATTAAATTAGAATTAAACCAAATTAGAAACAAGGTTCGCTACTAGGAACCTGTGCATCGCTACTAGGAACAAGTGCCTTACTAGTAGTAACAATGTGTTTGCTAGTAGAAACACTTTACAAACAAACATGTCTTTACACATATAATTACGTTGTGTTTGGTGTGCCTTTTTCGGCTTCGTTGTGACGATTCCACACACCTTTTGTAGGCCTGTGACTCCACCACCCTGAAGTTCAAATTCAAGGCGTGTGCCACTTGTGTGTTGTGCGTTGGCACGTTTGTGTTGTTCATGTCTCTCTCTCTTTTGGGAGGTCAACTTGGCGAGGGGAGGTGCGGCCGTCAGTGCGGTCTTTGCTTTTCTTCCGAAATTGTTCCTAGTAGCGATGCACTTGTTCCTAATAGCAAACATTGTTACTACTAGTAAGGCACCTGTTACTAGAAGCGTGGCACGTGTTTCTTATGCGTTACTTCTTCCATAAAATGTCTTAGCCTTTCCCAAATTAGACTTATTGGAGGCTCCGGCCATCGCTCCGTTCAGGCGTCACGTGCATTACCTTCGTCCCTGCAGCCCATAACCAGCCGCCGTGGCCTAAGTTGATGCTTGGCTCAACGCTTGAAAGACAAGCGAAAAGAGAAGCAGAAATAGGTTGAGCCAAAGCGAAATAGAAACCTGTTACCGACCGTCTGACGGTCGAGGCCATGCTTGTTGGTGAACACCTCCGATTGCTCGGCCACGATCATCGATTGCACCTATTCCACGGG